TACTTACCGGGCACCCTGGAAGCCACATCAAAGTATACCTGCCTTTGGTGTTTGAACAGGTAATCCCTAGACCGAATGCCAGTGGCACATCTGTTACTTGGTGCTCACAGCTGAGACCATTGGATCTCAGTTTTAGGCTAGAATTGTTTTGTTAAGTCTCTTCCAAAAGCAGAAAAGTTTTCTATAGCTCCTTTGTAGTACCTTTGTTCTGTTGGCATGAGAAAGCTGTAATATTTAAACAAGGGAAGGAGGTCAGAGCTTGGAGTTGTTATATCGGTTGGCTTTTCATTTAATAAAGCAGCAAAGTCCTGTTGGTCCAAATATTATGAAAAAGTTGGGGAGTTAAAACTCCTGTCGATTTTGAGCTTTGGAGGAAAAAAGATCTGTTTTAAAATCTTAGAATAGCCTTTAATCACGTAACAGCGCTATAACTTTTTGTTTGTGTTGGGAGTTCATTTGAGAGATTTTTGCTATAGACAACATGCACTCGCCGAAGAGACAGAAACAAAGAAAGTGAAAAGTCACCACCGCCACCCCCAGGAGGAATGGCCACGCCACAGTCCCTTCCCCTTCATTATCCTCTCAGGATTTGGGCCATGCGTGCACATGTGCCCCGCATGAGTTTCAAGCCACTGGACCTGAGACTCAGCCACAGTCGGCCAAGTGGGAGTCCAGCTCCTTAACCACTATGCCACTGTAACTTTTTTTTTTTTAGGTAGAAAGGAAGATTTAATAGGAAAGAAAGGAAAGGAAAGGAAGTACACCCAAAAAGGCTCTTGGGCGGGCAGATTGCCAGGTGGCAACCGCCGCCACTGTAACTTTTATACCATAAGATTTGATGTACGTTCTGGTTGTAGCCTTTGATTGGCTGGCCTTGGGCGTGTGCCTGTCCCTAAAACCAGTTGCCATGGCTACAGAGACTGCTGTCTAATTGGTGAGACCTCTGTAGCTCCTGTGCCCTTCTTTGGAGAGTTCCATGAGATCATCGCAGTCTGGGTGACGAAGAAAATGGGGCAAGGTCATTCTAGAAGATGCTGGTAGGCAAGGTGCCGGTCTACTAAAGAAAAGAAAAAGAAGGATTTGTACCACAGTCAGCCAGTGGGCTCCGTCTCCCTCAACCACCAGATTATGGTGCTGGCCCTCAGTTGCAGTTTAATTGTTTTCTAGATTGTGGAGGGCTCTCATTTGGATGGCAGGCATGCTGGGTATTCCAAGTCCCTTGAGGACAGGGAAGGGCTTCAATGATAGCCTGAGAGTCATGATTCCTTGGGAGTGAGGGTTAAGTCCTCAAGCAGTTTTGGGATACGGATTGTTTCATTTAAATTCAGGCTCCTCCACTAGACACTGTTAGGAGACTGGGGAAAAAAAGGGCATGGCGAGATTTCTTTCATCAAGGAGCTTATAAACTTTTGGAGCCTTCAAGACTTAAATAAATCTGGTGGCATACAAAAAGTATAACAAAGTGCTGAATTAGAAAGGACCTTGGGTCAAAATGTGGTAGAAACAGTAAGTGCTGTAGGCACTCAGGGGAAGCAGGA